CTAACGGAATTTTTATAACAAAACAAGGCCAGTACTATGGTTGCTCTATGGATGGCAAACAGCAATGAGGACTAAAGGACAGGTGCAGAAATGAGTAGGAATATACCAAATGAAGAGACAACCGAGGTCCTGAAGGCAGAGTCTGAGGCATGAACTGTCCCTACAGATAAAGAAGGGAACATGGGTGATGCTGATGTCAAGGCTGCAGGGTCAGCATAGTCAAGTTCTCCATGCATCGGAAGTTGGAATACAGTGACTAAGCCTTGAGTCAGCTTGGTTTAGGAAAGACAAGACAATATGACATAGAATGGATAACAGAAAAATTTTAAATGAGAATAAAGGACATTTTACATAGATACATACTTATTTATCTGCATATATTCTGCATATATATGTGTATGTATATATATATATATATAGATTGCTTTCTAACCAGTCCCTAAATCAGCATTATATTCATGATGTTTTCTTATTTTTTAAAGATTTATTTATTTTTATTGGAAAGGCAGATGTACAGAGAGGAGGAGAGATAGGAAGATCTTCCATCTGATGATTCATTCCCCAAGTGACCACAATGGCTGGAGCTGAGCCAATCTGAAGCCAGGAGCCTTTTTTGGGTCTCCCACATGGGTGCAGGGTCCCAAAGCTTTGGGCCATCCTCGACTGCTTTCCCAGACCACAAGCAGGGAGCTGGATGGGAAGTGGAGCCGCTGGGATTAGAGCCGGCTCCCATATGGCATCCCAGCGTGTTCAAGGCAAGGTCTTTGACCGCTACGCTATCGCACCAGGCCCTCATGATATTTTCTTAACATCCAAATGATCTGGGTCTTGTCAAGTAGTATTAATAACTCCCTAAAAAGAAAATCACAAAAAATATATTTGCAATGACAATAGCGGTGCTTTGTAATATCACTTTTACATAATTTTCTAAATTTATTACATCACAAATTTTTATTACATCATTAAAAAAACTTGATATTAATCAATACTAACATACTGTCCTTTTGAATTAGATTTAAGAGTTAATAGACACCAGCACATGAATTATCGTAACTAAGCTAACTGCATGAAACCATACTGAAGAGTGTTAAAAGAAACACAAATAAAGGAATAGATATTCCATGTCACAGATTAAAACAGTAATGTTATTAGAATAATATGTCCATAGTAATGTTAGAGAAATGACTGATAGGAAGCTCAGGAAACAGGCCCTCCAGGAAAAAAAAAAAATCACTGACCTTGAATGATTATTCTCAAGAAACTACTTCAGGCTTCGGGAATCTAGTCAAACTTTCACAGCAGCAGGGTGAGTAGTGGATGAAGAAGTGTTTCTGCTGCCTCTCAGTAATGTGACCTCTCACTGTAGCTGGACGCCAGCAGTCCCTATACCTCAGTTCTGTGGTTGACCGTGTTAGAGACAGAATCCTGACTTGCTCTGTACCTTTCTGATCCCAGGATGGTCAAGAGAGACTTTTCCATTACAAGTAAAAGTTGTGCCTTCTGATCACTAGTAGGCTAACAACTTCTCCGGGGGAATTAAATGAGGAAATTAAAGAAGAAAAATGACGTTAATTTTTAAAAAAATTTTACTGAAACCAAAACTTAGGGAAATCTATATCACATCTCTGACTGCTGAGTGAACATAATGTGATCCAGGTGTTCACATGGGAGAAAATACAATGATTGCTAAAATAGTTAAAGAATCTAAAAAATAGACACTTGTAGGCATTGTCAAATACAAGCAGGAATTCATCCTAGACAGAAAAATCTTCTTTCCAGACTAAAACACAATACAACAAAGCTCAACCCACTGTGGTCTGTCTGCTGCTAAAGTCGGTTCACTGTGCACCACCACAGTTACAAACTGTTGGTGATGCTGACAGATAAGCAACCGCTCCACCATGTGCAAAGAAACGTGCCTTGAAATAGGTCCAGAGTCCTCTATGGGATTCCATTCAGTTATACGCACAGTAGGACCGTGTTTATCATGGAATTTGTTAAACCTGTAGACTTTCTTTATCCTTTTTAATTTTTTGTCTGATAAACACATTTCAGAAAAAAAAACTTCAACTTTTCAAATTGTTTTTTCAGCATTATATACTCAGTGGTTGAAACCATCTATTATACCATTATTTTAATTCATTAAATTATTCAATGCCAAGAATTCTATTTATCTGTCTGTATCTATATCTACATAGATGATATAGATGGGTAAATATATGTATATACCTCTATCACTTTACTGAATTACTCATTCAAGCTTAATGAAGCCCTTACTCAATTACTAATATCATGAAATTAAGAATACATGTCTGTGTGCCTTAATCAGAATGCACTACATTAAGATAACTGTTTTGATTCTTTTTGGATATTTCATTTGAAAATCATTTCCTAATACATATGCTATTAGAATTTTAGCAATATCATATTTCCAATATGTTCCATGTTTTTTTTTGTTCCATCCACTTGTATGTGTGCTCTTTGTGGAACAATGACTTTTACCAGTTTTGATGATGATTTAATAATGAAAAGGTGTCTCCAAGTTGTATCCCAGGTATACATTCTATGAGATTCATTCATTTATAGACCTTCAAACTTAGATCAGCATGCTGCATAAAACATGGGATTTTCCATGAGCAAAATACTCATTGCTTGTGAAATTAATAAATGTTCTGCATTCTTCTGCTTAAATTTTCATCACCTTGGAATGCCATCTCGTTCCAAGCTGATACTGGCTAGGGAGGTGGGACGTTACAGGCAGAGATCATTATTTCCATATTTATAAGGCTATCCTGATCTCTATGGGCGTTGGAAACTCAACACATCTCTGCTACACTCCAGACATCTCCTTGAAGTACTTTATGTGAATGTAGTTGTTGATTTTTTTACTTTGATTTCTAGTTCTTGTTTATTTATTTCTTTGTTTTTTGATGAAAAGCACACACACACACACACACACACACACACACACACACACACACATTCAACCATCTTATCCGAGGTCAACTTGCATAATATTTACCAACCAACAGTAAAACTGGATATTCATGTAAGAAAGATTTTTATTTCATCGAATCAAAGAGAAAATCCCTTGTCTAATATTCCAACGACTAGAAACATACTCCTATTTGTTTTCAAATTAATAGCCGCTAATGGATATAACTGCACTGCAGCTGCAAAGTCAAGAAAGTAATGTTGGGTACATTGTGATCATTCAGTCCTCACTGTCACATGCTTTTCATCCATCAGTCTAATGATAAGTTCCCAACATATCTAGAAATACTCCAAAGCAGGTGTATGACATGAAATGATATTTGTTGTATGCCATCACTGTTAGTCTGGAAACATTACTCATTCCATCCTTGATATCTGGGGTATTGCCTTTTGTAAATGAATGTACACCACAGTATTCTCAATTTGGGTTGGTTTGTACTTTCCTCATGATTACAATCAGGTAACATATCTTTCTAGAAATACTACAGATTGTTTATTTTTTCATCCCAATAAAACTTAAAACATGAAATTTCAATTTCAGTATCTCAACCATGTTCACTTTGATATCCTGAAAGAGTATCCAACAGTCCCTTTCACTAAGAAGTTATTCATGTTTGTAATCAATGTTGGTAATTGTGAGTAGCTTACAAGTTTCTAATAATGGGGAACTATCATTAGAACATACAAGTGTAATCCAAAAGCTTCATGGAATGTGAACTTAAAGGTAGTTAGTTTTATGCAAAAAATTGAAGCCCATATTTAATTGCTTCAAGTAATTTCATCAACATTTGAAAATCTAATTATATTTAACTATCTTTTGCTCATAGTTTATATTTGCCGATTACTTAATTATTTCTATCAGTATAAAGCCTTTTGTTTGTGGCCAACAATTTCCCAAGTGGCTAATGCCACCCCTATGCCAAAATCCTACATGGCTGGTGGATCATATCCATGCTGCTGCCCTTTGATCCAGTGTCCTATAAATGACATATGAATGGATGCCCCAAGTGCTTAGGACCTTATCACCGTGTGAAATTCCCAAATGAAGCTCACGACTTCACTCTGGCTATATCCTAGCCATTGCAGCCTCTAGGAAATGAATCAGCTGATAAATTTTCTCAGGGTTAAAACCTGCCAGCCCACCCTGAGGTCACTGAGGCTGAGGTGATGGTGTTCTTCAGGCTGAAGGACCACCTAAGACAAGCTGGTGAGGAATATTTGCTTTATCATGGACAAGTTACAAGTTTTAAAGGCTAAGGAAGGGAACTGCAGGTTGGACTCTTCCAGCAGTACCCCCAACCCACAAAGATGCTGGTATAGGCTATAAGGCACGTCCATTTCCCTTGACCTTCTAGTCATTTCGGAGGTCATGCTCCATATATATTCCCCTTGACCTTCCTGTAGGGCTGGAAGCTGTGCCTTAGGTCATGGGCAGGTAAGCAGGGAGCCATGTCCACCAGGCATCAAGCAGAAGCCCATGGGCGATTGTCCACAAATAGAACTCTATTTCTCTCTCTGTCTCTCTCTTGTGTTTGTACATGTGTGTATGTGTATAACTCCATCAAATAAATAAGCAAATATTTGAAGATGAAATAAAAGTTTCCTAAAAACACCTTGGATAAAATGTGGTGACAGTCAGTTTTCTACCCCCACCCCTTTTTTTTAATACTCTCTACTTGTCATTATGAGACTCTTGGGAGTCTTATGTTCTTTGATTTCTTACCTACCTAATGCATGAAAGAAGACTATTTGTAGCTTAACCTTACATTAAGGTTTTTTTTTTTTTTAAGTAAGAACATTCAGAAGGAAGAATGTGTCGAAATTTAGACTTTTTTTTCTGTTAGAGTGATAAGTCTTAGTGTTAGTAATTCAGAAAAAACAAAATAGAAGAAATTGTTGTGAAATTACCTTATAGCATTCCATTAATGGAGCTTGTGTGTTCACTGGATCTCAGAGAATGCTGAGATGTGAAAGAGTTATAAATGAAGTTAATGATAGAAAAGGGAACTGTAGATGCCAGTGCACCAGCAGCCAGGGTGCTCCATCTAAACAGGAATGAAGCAGAGGTGGTATGGAGGTGGAACAGCAATTAATCCATTGGCGACTGCAGTGATGTCAAGGTCCTTTGGTTCAACCACAGATTTCAGATTGAAATTCTGTAAGATGGTGGTCAGGAACAAAAACAGCTCCATGCGGGCCAGGCCCTCTCCCACACAAACCCGTTTTCCTGAAAATAAACAACACAGAGAGGGGAATCATTTCCTGTGTATAATTGCATGTAAAAAACCCTGTATTTGCGACTGGTTCAAAGAGGACATGGAGCAATGATGGCTGTTTTTGAAGATGACTCTGTAGACAAATGAACGAGGTCAGACACGCTTGCTGCACATCTCACATCTCACTGTAACTAACATTTTGATTACCTGCTGAGAAGGGCATGAAGTAGTCACTCTTCTTAAAGTTGCCACTTTCGTCCAGAAAATGTCCAGGGTCAAATACTTTAGGGTTGGAAAATTCTTTTTCATCATGTAGCACGGATGTCAGTGATGGGATGATAGTGGTGCCCTGGATAAAAGAGACACAAAAGCTAACTGGGGGAAACAGCTTGTCCAAAATGCTTTTGAAGAAGTGAGCATGGTTTCACTTTCTCGAAATAAGTGAAAATAAAATCAGTTATATCAAGATTTGGGGATACAACAAAATCAAAATTAAGAGGTAACTTTGAAGTATTAAATGTTTACATTAAAGAAAAAATAAATACCTTAAAGATCTAATGATCATCTCTATAAGAAATACTATAAGATAAACAAAATTGATATCAAGAGCAGGAACAAAATAATATTGATCATAGAAAAAATAAATGAGATTGAACTTTTAAAAAAATTGTGATCTCCAAAATATTATTAAATGCAACCTTTAATTTGAACCTAACTTAAATAAACCTCTAGCCAGATAAACAAATTAAAAAGTAGGAGGAAAGCTCATACATATACTTAGAGATGAAAAAGGGAACATTACAGACAACACAAGTGGTTTTGTAACGCTCATTAAAAAATGCTAAGAAAGACTATATGCTAATAAACTGGAAACACTCAAAGAAAGGTTTAATTCTCTGGAAATACATAAATTCTCAATATTAAATCCAGAAGTAATTAGCAATCAATGGACCCACAGCAAGAAATGAGACTGAAGCAATAATTAAGCTTCTTCCATCCAGGAGACATCCAGGACTTGACAATTTAAAATTGGATTCCAATATTTTTCAGACTATTTGAGGATATTAAAATGATGAAACTCCACCAGCATCTTTGCATAAGATCAGTATCACTTTGGTGTTGAAAGGAAACAAGGCCACAACATAAAAAAAAACAAAACAAAATGCACACCTGTATTCCTCATGAACATAGGTTCTCACCAAGTGAGATGCAACATTCATGCAGGTAGTGCTTCTAGCCAGTGATGTGCTGAAGGATGGAAAGGATTCTTCACAGGAATGTGAGCTAAATGAATGTGCTAATTCTTATCTACAACTTTTTAATGTTAAGGTAACCTTTGTGTTCTCTGTCTCATTAAAATATCATTGCTTAAAATTAGTAAAAGCTATGTCCTGCTTAGAAGTTAGGGCTTTATGACAAGAATTTAATCTCTATCGTGTCACGTAAAAGGATCCTACTTTTCTTAAATATTTTCAGCCTTCCTGGCATCCTTGAAAGGCATTCAAAAATTCAAATTTGTGGAGAGTGGTATTTTTTAGTGAAGTCTCCTGGAAATATCAAAGGATTTGTCTTTTCATTTGTGGAGACAACAGCTGATCTGACAATTTGGATTCTATTAAATATATTGTAAATGCTAAGTGCAAAAAACTTTGTCATATCAAAATACTACTATTACAGATATCTAAAAATAAAAAAAGTCTAATTCAAATTTGTGTGTTCTTTCAAGAGTTTCAGGACAGGTGATGCCTAACAATAATGAAATTTAGGTCAAACAGCCAGAAAACTCTAAATGTTTACAGTTTTGTAAATGTGCCCAGGTTGCTCACTGCATATCTCTTAGGATAATTTAATTTTCTGGGAAAGATAAAATATAGGTCTTCTCTTTAAGGGATGGGTTTTGCAGTAATGGCCATTTTTTCTCTCAGGGTTTTGGTTTAGGCTGAATCACCATGGTGACTTTTCATTTGATGATTTCTAGTGGGCATTGCTATCATCTAGCTTGGTTAATAAAGACTCCTCAGTGTATCCTAGACTTGTCTGGAATTATCTCTTTTGCACACTGCAACATGGTGGAGACCCTAGTAAGAGCAGTGACCATCTGTAACCCAGCTCGGTAGGCAGGGACGAGGTGGGGTAGGTACTGTGCTGATTAACATGCTCTTAGCAGCCTGTCCAGCATCCTGACTCACAGGATTTGCACTGACCTTTACCCAGAAACAGGTATCTCACCATATAACCTGTTTCTGTTTTGAGTACTCATTTGGAACTCAATAAGACTTGACACAGCACAATTTCATGAGTCAGAGTCCTTAAGCGACACCATTGTGGCCCATTAGGTTTCTTAATTTAAGAGCGAGGTGGCCACTTGTCTGTCTTGACGTCTATGTTTCTGTTAAATCTGTTTAATTTTACAGGTGTGGTGCCAAAATAACAACCATTAATCAGAACTGTACTGTAATGTTCTCCTGGGGTATATGTGTATTTTTTTTTAAAGGTGTATGAGGGTTGTATTACAGTAACACTCCTTGGCCTCAATATTGTTGAAAAATGGTCTCAAGATAAATTTTAGTTTCATTTCACTCTTTAAAAGCTATTGTTGCTCTAAGAAAATTTCCAGTTGTCAGCATACATTACAGTCTATGTTTACTGATCAAAAAATAATTAAGGTAAAATAAAAGAATTACTACAACAATTAGAAAAGTGGCACACAGAAATTTCATTCTCTCCCTGGAATTCCCCCATGCTTGTTATTAAAAAAGAAGTCAGGGAAATGGAGACTGTTGATTGATTTATGAAATGTAAATACCACTATGATTACTATGGGCCCTTTACAACCTGGGCGGGCTCCTTTGGCCTGGCACATTTCCTGAGGATTGGGAACTGATTGCATTAGACCTCAAAGATTGTTTTTTACATTTTTATGCATGAAACTATAGACTGAGATTGGCCTTTTTGATTCTGGCTTCTATCAATGATATCAACGGAGAATACTCCCTCAAGGAATGACTAATTCACCTATTGTGTGTCAATATTTTGTTGTAAGAGCTATAGATCCTGTTCACAAAACTCTTCCATATATTTATCTTATTCATTATATGGATGAAATCTTATTCTTTTGCTGCTTCTGCTAATGTGCTATAACAAGCCTATACTATACTCAAAGAGAATTTACAGCAGCACGGGCTCATTATCAATCCTGAGAAAATACCAAGAGCATATGTGGTTAACTATTTAGGACATGTGATGGGAAGACAAACCATTAAACCCTAGAAGGTCTCAATTAGAAAGTTTACATTTTAAACTTCAAAAAATTACCAAAGTCTACTAGGGGATGTCAATTCGCTATATCCTATGTTAGGGTGGAGTACTAATATTAAATGAAAAGATACAAATAGCTTTTCCTGGTTTTTTGGATATATTGGAACTATCCTCCACAGAAGTATAAATTCCTCTTTTGTGCATCTGACCCTAGGATACAAACACCAGGAGTACTTCCAGTAGAAGAGGTGATGGAAAAAATTGCAGTGCTAAACCACCTCATCTCTCCCCTCCCCCAAAACAGATATTGCCATATCAACATAAAGATGACCTTCCTTCTTGGTGCAGGTAAAGGCTTTGGCTAGAAAGGTGAAAAGGATCCTCACCAACATGGGGTGCCAAATACAGCAGAAAATCTTCTGTTGCCCATGAAAGCTGTGCTTACTTGTGCTACTGTGGTAAGTAGTAATCATACTTATTGTTGTTGCATTCCCATCCACTTGGTTACAACTGGTGTTTTAAACTGACTCTTAGATTGTGTTTTCTCTGTGCCAACTCTAAACAATTCAGTCACAGTGAGTGCCAAGCTTTCATAACTGAGCACTGCAATTGCACTAATTGCAGCAGTTAGAGCTGTTCTTATTTGTCTCTGTTTTCTATTTATAGGATGTAGACAGTCCCAAGGACCACTCACTGCTCAAAGAAATGCCAGATTAGAAATTGCACTAATGTTATTGCCACTAGAAAATTTAAAAAGGAGGCGATGTCAGGATGCATCCAACAAGATAAGCTGCTGTGTTAGATGCAAGACTGAGAACCTGTTGTGAAGAGGCTCCAGGAAGAAGAGTTAAAGGGCTCCTCAGGCAGCCTGCATGTTCTCTCAATGCATCCTTGGAGATGTTTTCATGCTTTCCTTGACAAAAGGCAAACATCTGTACTTTGCCTAATTAGCTGACCAAGGGCTGACAGTGTTCTTTATTATTCCTCCTCTCAATAGTGCTTTGATCAAAGTACCTTATTAACTTTCCTTGAACTCATTGCTTGCTGATGTGACCTAAGTCTGAGTTGTGTTTGAACTTGTGCTGCTGAACAAAAAAAAAACTTCATTAGGACACTGTCAAGCACCAAACAAGAAACAGCATTGAGTCCAGCAAAATACCACACCAAGGGACTTTGCCACCCTGTCATATGGTGTGGGCGTAGGAAGCACACTGTGGATCAAAGTTTAATGAGCACTGAGGTTAAATAGTGAAAACACTCTTACCTTGGGGATGAGGTAGTTTCTGAAGTAAACATCCCGTGTCACTGCATGGGGCAGGTTAGTGGGTATGAGGTCAATGAATCTCTGGACCTCGTGGATGACAGCGTCCGTGTAGGGCATGCGGCTCCTGTCCTGCATGCAGGGGCTCCGGTGTCTGCCGATCACACTCTCAATCTCCTCCTGCACTTTAGCTGAGAAGACACAGGTGAGAAGTGGTGAGGTGGGAGGAGGAAATCTGGCACATGTAGAGTTTTGTGAGCAATAGGGTGGTTTTCTCATCAAAATTATAAGTTGTATTCCCAGAAGGACATCTGGAAGAATAAGGCAAATTAATGTTAAGACAAACACTGATAAATCTATTTTAAAATGGCCAGTAAAATACATATATGACCCCCCGAAATGGTACACGTGGTAACAAAATGAACAGATACGATAAAATGAATAAAAAATATGATTGAGTCAGGAAAAGCTTTACCAGTTACAAAACCAGTTCTTCCTGGTAACTTTCTAAATATAGTTGCTTCTAAAGCATAAAATTATTGACAGTCTTCACAGAATTTCTATTTTATATCACACAAGCTATAAGGAAATAGAATTCTAGAGAAATAGAAGTCCTTTAGGGTCTTCAGACTAAAACAGAATACATGTCTCTGCATCTGACCTTAGAGAATATTTCCCCACTGGAATGAACCCTGGTGGCCACATTAAACCACAATTCTGCCACAATAAGAACGTGTAGCTGCTGTAGAACACTGAGTTATCACAGTAAGAAAGTCTAGATACAAGCATGAGCTTATTACTAACCAAGGTCCCACAGGACTTTGCAACATAAAAACAAACTAAACCCACATGCCACCCATCAGGTCTCATTAATGCAGACACTCGCCCTGAGCTTCACTTCTCTTTGTGCTTCATGCTGTCTCCACCTCTCTCAGCTGTCCTCCCGAAGTGTACTAAGTTGTCCTTCATGAATCTGGCCACCACAGCGTGTAGAGGACAACTGTTGGCAGAGTAGGAGAAAAAGGGTGGAAGAACTAGCCCCAGCCTCTCAGTTTCGTCCCTGAATCCTTACCTCTGACCTCTGGGTGCTTCAGCAGGAGCAGGAGACAGTACCTCAGTGTCGTGCTGGTTGTCTCTGTGCCAGCTCCAAACAGATCAGACACAGTGATTACCAAACTCTCATAATTGAACTCTGACTGTGGACTGTTCTTTTCCTAGGAACGATTTCATGCAATTTAACAAATCATTTGCCAGCATAATTTATTACATATTAATCACAGCATTTTAATATAATGAATCCAAAATAACTCATATTGCTGTTTTAAAAGCCAACTAACAGGGAAACCTGAAAGTTCAACACTATAACAGTATATTGTTATATTGTGGGATTATTGGAGATGCTTCAAAAATTATGTTCAACATGGATTGAAAACCACCTTATTTCTTGTTTGCATAAAATCACTGTTCATGTCACCCTCTAGCTGGGTAGTCCAGGCATGAAAATTTGTCACAAAACTATACAAGCAGAAGTCTAATGGCACTGCGGCTTTCATGTTCTTCTCATTCAAAACACTGATGAGGCAGAACAAACATTATCTTGGAACACAAGGTTATAACCATGAAAGCCAAATTCTAAGTCCTAACTATGGGATACAAAAAAATTTTTTTGCGTATCTCTGATGCATTAAAACTGCTATATTATTGCCAGATTGGCTCAGTTTGAGACATGTTGCATTTGTGGCAAATAAATACACTTTTGGTTTAAGAAATTATTATCCACATATTCTCTTGCTTGTATACAAGGATTACCTTAATTAATAAATATTTTGGTAAACAGGAACATGCCATTAAATCTAATATGTCCATTAAAACTGGATGAGGTCTGCCTTACTTCTATCCCAGTGGAAGGCAACAGGTAATATAAACAAGGGGACAGGTGCGGAAATGAATAGGAATATACAGAGTGAAGAGACACTGCAGTCATGATGACAGAATGTGAGGCATGAACTATCCCTACAAATAAATGAATAAATAGGAGTGTTGCTGATGCCAAGGCTATGGGGCTAGGTAAACAGAGGTCTCTATGCACTGGAAATTAGGAGGAAGACATTGACAAAGATGAGAGAGATTGGCTTAGAACTATAAAGATGATGTGAAAAAGAATTGATAATAATGGAAAAAAATAAATTTAGCAAAAGGTGTAATTCATACATACAAATATTTTGTATAGATGTAGATTTAGATATAGTTTTGGTTTTTAAGATTTATTTTATTTTTATTGGAAAGGCAGAGAAACAAAGAGGAGAGACAGGAAGATCCTCTGTAAGCTGTTTCACTCCCAACAGCAAGAGCTGAGGCTACCTGAAGCCAGGATCCTAGAATAACGCCCACCGTCCTGGCTCTCCAACATGTGCTCTGGGACCCAAGGTCCCAGGCTGACCTGGACTGCCCTCCCGGGACATAAGCAGGGAAGCAGGGTTGTTGGGACTAAAACTGGCACCCACACAGGGACCCCAGCTCATGCCAAGTGAGGACCCCAGATGCCAGGCTACCAAGCTGGGTACTTAGATATAATTTTCTAACTAATGCATTATCTTCATGATGTTCTTATAACACACATATATCAGGATCACATTCAGTATTATTGGGGAAAAAAAGCCCTCACTGAAAACAAATCCAAGAACCTATACATTTGCCAGGCAAATATCATCATATGTTTTAGTAATAACAATCACATATTTTTCTAAATTCATCAACTAATAAATACTCTACTCAGTTAGAAAAGCAGTGTGTTCATCAGCAATTATTAACAGATTCATCCTTGAAGGATATAGAAGACTTTCTGTTAACCAGTATATAACTTATCATAATGCAGCTAATTATATATCATATTAAAAGAAGTTAAAACAAATAAAGGAGAAACATTCCATGTCACAGATAAACACAGTAATATTGTGTCCTATATATAGGGTAGCACTTCTAGTTCAATGTGGTAAGATGACAGATCAGTGTAAGAATCAGGCACTCCATGGAAAAAGATCAATGATCTTGAATGATTTTTCTGAAGAAACTATTTCAGGCACCAGGAATCTAGTCAAACTTACAGCAGCCAGGTGAACACTGGATGAACAAAGTATCTGCTACCTTTCACTAATGTGACATCTCACTGGTCACTAGAGGCCAATATTCCCTACACCTCAGTTCTGTGGTGTAGGGAGAGTCCTGTGTTTCTGTGAAGTATTTTGATCCCAGGATGGCCAAGTAGGACATTTTGCACTGCAAGTGTTTCTATTGGGCTGACCACTACGGATTGCCATTGACCTGACCACTGTTCCAATGCTGTGGCTCAAACAACTACTCCAGGGGCATTAAATGAGGAAATTAAAGAACAGAACGACTTTTTCTTGATTCTTGTTGGAACAAAGAAGTTAAGGAAATCTATGGCAATGACACATCATTGATGGATTCCACATGATAACAGAACAAGACTCAAGTGAAAACATAGCAGGAAATTCAACCTTCACTAAAGTTACATATCACAATCTATAAGTACTAGACAGTTGTAATCTTTGTCATGTATAACCAACTTATGCAAGACATAAAAGTCTTATTTCCAGAATGAACACATTGTATTATATGTGCAGTTCTCAAACAAAAATTACATAGTATATATAAAAAAGAAACACGTGCCACTAACAGTTTAAAAATGATTTTAGAAATCAATTCTGATGCAACCCAGATCTGGGATTTATTATAAAATAAGTTTCTACAATGCTCATAGAGCTGAAAGAAGTCACAGGTAAAAAATAGAGTTATTAAAATACAGTTACAAGGGCACAAGTGCAGCAGGCTAGCAAGTTGATCCTTTGCTTGCAGTGCCTGTCCTAATTCAGGCTGCCCCACTTCCTATCGAGCTGCCTTCTAAGATCCTGAAAAGACAGCTGAGTGGCTCAAGTCTTTGCTCCTGACTTTGACCAGCTCCACTCTCATCATCACATCCATTTGTAAAGTGACCCAGGGGGACAGAAGATATCTCTGCTCTTCTCTATCTGTGTGTGTGTGTTAAATATTTAAAGAAAAATGAATAAATCATAAAAGAAAGGAAAAGAGAAGAAATAAAATGAAATGTGTCTGGTATTATCTAAGGAGTTGTTGACAGGATAAAATGCAGTCAACCAACATTCTACACTGGAAAACCTGATTTTCCATAACAAAGGAGACATTAAAACATTAGAAAATAAAAGTTAAAGGAATTTCATGATAGTAATTTTTTATGTCCCATCCCATTAAAAACGCTAGTGATAACTCACTTAAAACTGAAGCAAATGGATAAAAAGCAATAACTAATGTCATAAGAAGAGAGAAATTTTTCTGTTAAGAGTAAGTATATATGGGCTGGCTCATCCTCCACTTCCAAGAGCAGGTTTCCTATGCAGGCACCAGTTCAAACCATGGCTGTTCCACTTCCAATCCAACTCCCTGCTTATTATTTGGGAAAGCTGCAGAAGATAGCCCAAACTATCATGTTTCTCCTCTGGTAGATTATTTTCAACTAAAGAAAAAGGCCCATGTATTCTAATCTTTCGATAATTTAATTTTATGTTACATATCTCAAAAACTTCATGAAAACTATATTGTAGGGAAAATGTATGGGCTTCACATTTCACACCAAATAAGTCTGTTTCCACAAACCTTATATGAAGTACCTAAATATATTTCATGATGCTGGGATTAATCCACAAACTCATTGAAACATACCCTGTATATACAGAGTTATTCAAGGAACCTCAACATGCAGAAGCAACCAAAGGGTGAGCTGTTGTGAATAATTTACCTGCTCCATTTTGATTAAGAAACAATCAATAAAGTCCCGAGGATTTTCCACATCCAATGATTTTTCATGTTCTCTCACTTTCTCCATAATAAATTTTCTTGTGTAATCAGCATCTTTTAGCAAATTGTTACAAATTCCAGGGAAACACTTAATGAGAAATGGGAAAATATTGCAGATCTAAAAGAGAAAATAATAGTTAGATATGTATATATTTCAAGACATAGTTATCATAGCCATAAATATGAATAAAATTTGACATCCATATTGAGTCATTTTTATGGCAAATATGTCTTAATCCTCTATGTTTCCAAAAATACTTGAGAGAGAGAGTGAAAGAAGCCTGGCTAGTGGAACAAATATGACAGTCATTTCCTAGAATTGCAAAATGTTTTTTTATACTACAAAGTCTCCTTTACATAAATCTTATTTTTCGCATCATTCTTGCCCTACAAACTTGAAATAGAAGATAGAAAATTTAGGGCATTGTGTTACAGAAGGTAAAGCCACCCTTGAGATGTCTCAACTTCTGAACTACCCATCCACCTTCCAACTAATATACCTGAGAGGCAGATAAGGTGTCCCAAGTACTTGATTTCATGGATCCTGGCACCAGCCAGGTTGTTGAAGACAAAGACATTCAGAAAATGAACCACTAGATGGAAGTTCTCTCTGTGTGTTTCTCTTCTGTTCCTAATTATTTCTGCCAAGTAATAAGGTAAAGAGATACCTTAGAATTTGCTGGATGACAAATCTTGTGGGGAGCAGGAGCCTTGCAAAAGAGGCTGGGGAGTCAATGCTGTAGCATAGAGGGCTAAGGCACATAGATTATGATGCCACAGGTCACCAGTTCAAATCCTGGCTGCTTGACTTTAGATCCAGTTCCCTGCTAATGCACTTGGAAAGGCAGTGGAGGATAGCACAGGTCTTTGTGTTCTGCCATCCACAATGGGAAACTGGAAGGAGTCAGGTTTGCACCAGTCCTGGACATCATGGCTGTTGGAGTAATGAATAAGTGTATGAACAATCTCTCCACGTGTATCCCTCTCTCTCCTATGAATCTGACTTTCAAAAAAGGAACCAATGAAAGAGGCAAGGCTAGAAGTCTCTTCATTGATGACGGCAGTTTTGGGCATTCAGAAAAACTTTACAGAAGCAGGTCTTGAACTACAGTGAAAAATTCAATTGGCAAAAACTAATGAACTTGAATACCAGCAGAGAATTTTGGGTACTGAATGTCTACAAAACGTTCATTACTTTTCCCCTGCTATTCAGTGATAAAACAAGCTCTATCCAAAAATTCATTTCACATCTTGAATTTAGACTGGTCAGTTCAAAGAACATAAGTGATATCTCAAAAAAATAAAGAAAGAAAAAGAAAATAAATTTTCTCTCACCTGCAACCATGGAGAACTCAGGTTCTTAATATCCTCATTCAATTTTTCCATTAGTTTAAGAAAATCCTTATCTTTATAGTCAAAGCGATTATGAAAAATAATGGAGCAGATCACATTGCAGGGAGCACAACCCAGGATAAAGGTGGGATCACAGGATGAGGCTGAAGAATTGAAAACAATTTCTAAGTCCCATTAAAATGCAAAGCATTTTATTTTTATGCATTGTAATTGAGACAGTTTTTGCTGTTACAAATTCTTGAAACTTCTGAAAAATAATGGCACATGTAAAATAAACACATCCCTTCACTGGAAACCTGAGTAGAGAATTACAATACAAGTTAAAACGATATTTCCAATATTTGATTCAAACTTCTTGTTTTATATATACTCTTTCAATGCAAGAGATCTGTTATTTGTGATGCAAAAAAAAAATGTTGAACATAATGAGGTTTTCAAAGTAAATCGCTTATGTCTGTAAAGTCCATAGACAATAAAGCACTGAGATGGAAACCAGCACACAGTGTGGACCTGGAAAATTATTTTAGATAAAATAATGAGAAATGAAGCAAGTAAAATAAAATCAGCAACCAAAGACACAGCTTATGAGCAAATTAATATGTTTAAAAATGTTAAAAACATAAGACATTAATGTAATATGAGAAAAAATTTAAAATGACCAGTAAGCAATTGGTGTAGTAGCTAGGATAATAGGTAAGATGCTTTGCAATCCAAATAAAAATGTTAAATATATCTTGACAAAATGATACTAGATATTCCACTCATGCCAATACCTGCAATGTCATGATAAACTTAAATAGCACAATGTTGGATTGTGAGTATAGCTGAAGAACTATCCTACTGTAATGATATGTGTGAAATTGGTGGTAGGAAGAAAAGGGGGAATGAGGAGTGGAGGTGGAGGGGGAATCCCTATACCTACAAAAATTTATCCTGGAAAATATTAATAACAATTGAAAAAAGATGCTTTGCAATCATAATTGGGGTGCATTGTTCAAAACTGGACTCCAATTCGTAACTCAAGCTTCCTGACAATTCAGACTCTAGAAGGCATCAGTAGTAATTCAGTTATTCATGTGGCCGACATTAAATATGTGTTCAAATTCTGGCTCCCGGGAAGCACTGGTCATTGTGGGAATTTGAGACGGATTTCTCCACCCTTCTCTCTCTCTCTCTCTCTCTCTCTCTCTCTGTTTCTCTCTCATATACATACATATATAAGTAGTGTTTGTGTGTGTGTATGTGTGTGTATCTGGTTGATGCTCACAGTAAGACTATAATAAAAATAAGCAGCATACTTTATGTGTGCAGGGCTCCCAACTTTACATTTATAAATCCTCCATCCAGAATTGCTCTTGAGATTCACCTTGAACAGCACTTCAGAGAATTAGTAGAGTTGACTCCAGGAGGAAAGTAATATTACCATGCATGGCTTAAAATCCAACGGACATGGAGAGAGAAGCACATCTGAAAACGCCCAGCATGCACCCAGGACAGTGAAGAGCTATGCTGATCTGCTGAGGTCATGTGAAGTAAAACACTTTATGAATGGGTATTCATGCATGTTGAATAATTATGCTACAGGATTATCACTCAAAATACATACACAGATAGAAGAAGTAGAAGGCAACAATGGAAAACAAATAATGATTTTTAAAACCACTGCAATTGCAGAGAAATGGCGATTAACAAGAACATTATTAAGATATAGCAAAATGTTTGAAACTTTGAATAACACCATTATTGTTCAGAAGTATGCAATGGCCTGGGAAAATCCTCAGACATGCCATAGCATTTACACAAATATAAAACCTTGCAAGGAATTAATGTATTCTACAAGAAGCCATGGGGTGGTCACTATCATTTATGTTTGCCCTGTTTTCCATGATAATATTTTCTTGAATAGGAAACCCACATTCAGCCTATGGAGACATTATTGTTCATAAACACACTCCCAACTGATACTCATGATTATAAGTTGAAAATAAAGTTAACATTCTTAGTACTGAACAAAATCAAATGACTCTCAGCCCACACAAAATGCACAGTTTTACTACAGACACAGGCAGGTAAATACAAGCTCCCTTGGTCTTTGTTTCAGCTTGCCTCTCTCTCATGTGGGAGCTGACAAGGAATGATTTGTCCACGCTGAAAGTCTTTCGAGAGCATCACAAAAGAGAGTGCATTGTGAGAGGGTCATCAGCACAGAGCAAAGAGCACTCACCATTGGTTTTCCTCAGCTCCTCCACAAGGCAGCGGGCCTCCTCTTGAACTCGGTCCTCAATGCTCCTCTTCCCCATCCCGAAATTCCGCAGGGTCATGAGTGAGAAGCGCCGCATCTCCTTCCATGACTTGGCATTGCTGAAAATTATTCCTTGCAGAAAGGGAGAAAAAACCAAGTGAGACAACCCGGCAAGTAGAAGAATCTCACAGATAGCAACCACGTGGATGGCAAAGTTCTGCCTGGGCTGCTCAATTTCCTGTATTCTACCCCACCCACTCCCTGACCACTGCTTAACACACAGACAGGCACACTTACCAAGTCCTTTATTAACTTTTTCCAGTATAGGAAACCTGCCTCTTCCAGCAAAGTCTTCTCCAAGATCAATCAGGGCCTCCTTCACTGCCTCATATCCATGTAGCACCACAGTGGGCTTTGTGCCAAAATACAGGGTGAACACGGGGCCATAGACTTTAGAAAACTGAGAAAAGAGTTATGGATTTCAGCAAACAAATCATAGTCCACCTAGTCAGCCACATTCAGATAGATAGTGTTATTGTACATGTTATGTGTTCATTCTGTCTTGGATTCCAACTCTGCTATTTATATTGAAATGTGATGGTGATTATTATACCTGTCACTCACAAGGGATCTAGTAGTCGGGCCCATTGACTGCAATTTACAGTTCATTCTCCAACAACACACTCAGTAAGTTTACTTTTTCTTTTTTATGAGTAGAGAAAGTGAACTTGAGAACTTCACATTTGCTCCCAGATTCCTGTGACAGTAAATAAAACTCTACAGTTTATGCAATCTCTGTAGCTTGAGTAAGTTTTCAACACAAATATTCATCTTGAAATCAACACCCTGGTGACTCAGAGTCACACGGGCAGCCCTTCTCTGGAGATCCTGACCGAGCAGGCCTGTAATGAACACTAGAAAAAGCACAGTTTCAACATCACGGCAGCAGTCCTTACATAGCCCATTTTGAGATGTACTGGCCTAAGTTGCAGAAATAGAACAAGCAAGTAAAATATTTTTTTCTCTGTATCTCTCCCCTTTTCTCTGTCATCTGGACTTTTTAAGAGAGAAAATATGTCTTGAAAAAGCAAACATGCACTATGAAGCTGTAATTCCAAAGGAAAGAAAATAATTCAGGCACTTATTTCTTGAATAAAATCGGGCCCACGCTTATCTTACAATTGAACTTCAGAGAAAGAATTGTAAAACAAGTCAAGGGTGATCTCAACATTCACTGCTTTATTATAATACTTTTATCATACTAGGGACAAAAGGTTTCCCTATGCCACTGCTGGAAATGAAAGACTAGGAATGGCTGCAGCAACTTGTAGGCTTTCAAAGGTGTAAGCATCTGTTATAAGAATGTGCATCCAGCGATGGATTTTATTTTATAAATGGAGTGAAAAAACTTTCCCATAATTGTCACAGAAAGAGTATAGTGTTTACTTACATTAGCCAAGGATTTGCTGATGTCCCTCACATCTAGTTGTAGAATGTTTCCAATGATCGGGAAAGGAGTGGGTCCAGGAGGCAGCTTTCCTCTGCCTGAGCTCTGCTTCCAGAAGGTAAGGAGAAGCAAACAGGAGAGAGCCAACACCAGGAGCACAGCTGGATCCATTGAAGCTTTCTCTGTTGATATTACTGTGAACTGGAAAGCGCAGGCTCTTGTAACAGGAGCCTTCTCTTCTTGCTGAGATTACTGTGAGCTGGAAAACACAGGCCCCTGGAATGCTCCTTAGAATTCAGACTGTGCCTGTTTACTTGCCAAGAAAACGATCAATGGGATGCATTGTGTACTGCACTCAAATGGACTTTGTCTCCATAGCAGAGATAAACATGAGACACTCTTTAGTCAGATTCACTTTCTTTTCAGTAGCTACTCCATAAATTGTGGTTTCATTTTTACTGCTAAGCCCAGGTTTTGGCAGTTTAAAGTAAACGCGACAAAACTGATTGTTTCAATGTGCAGCTATGTTTAAGAACCAGTGAATTCATTCTGTGATGCCAGAAATTTACTCAAAATTCTATGTTAAGGTTAAAGACATATTGAGAATGTATAACTTTGACAATCAGCAAAGTATATACTCAGTTGTATATTAGCATATGATAAAGTCATGTAAAATATGTGTGTTTAAGATGTGTTGTAAATTTGGACAAAACTTGATAATGACAACTATACAAATAGTTAATGTATTCTACTTATTATAATTGTTTCAATATAGAATAGTTACTATAAATTATATATATCATAACAGAAATATAAGGTTACTAACTAAATTTTCAAAGAAAATTATTTGAAAGGATGGGTTATTAATTTTTACTTTTCAAATGAAGAAATAGATTTGTGGAAAACAAGAGACTTGGCCAGGGTCAGAGTGCTCACAAGTAACCCAAAAGGACTTTGGTTTTCATGTTAGCTTTTGGTTTTACATTATTTTCTGATATAATGTTTAATATGAAATTGGTTTCTAATCTTAGCCCACCATAATTGTTTAAAGTTTGGTTAGAATCAAAACTAAAGAGGAACATTTAGGAAAGGGGGAAGTTTTTTTTTTCCTCTGTAGGGAAATCTAAGTACCTGCTCTATTTTGGCTCGGTGCTTTATAAAAGATATCCACCCTCTCTTTTATCTTCAGGTTTTTTTAAAGAAATTATTTTTATAATATTGTTTTAAAGTCTCAGGAGTTTCTCCTTCCGCCTAACCCAATGACTCTGCTCCACACCCCTCCAGTTTTTCTCTATTTTATTTCTCTTTTATTGCAGTAGTACAGCCCTTCAGAAATAGTCACAAGTCCATCAATTATTTAACACCCAGCAATGAGAACCTGAATAGGTGTGGCCAGTTGAGCAAGGCCACTGTTCCTGCCAGGAAAGGAGGTGGACTATGTCAGTCTGTACCAAGCACCCACCAATATTGGCCAGGGCAACAGGAGGGGGACTTAGTCAGCCTGGACTGAGAACCCACCGATATATGTGAGATTTATCACTGGGATGAGATGTGATACAGGAAGTTGAGCAATTCAAAAAATCTTTTTAAGAAATGAAAATAAAAACAAAACTATCAAAACCCATGAAATATAGCAAAAACAGTATTGAGAGGGACTTTTATAATACCAGATGTTTGCGAAAAATAGAAATAGCTCCAATAAATGACCTAATAATGCAGCTCAGGGATTTATTAAAAAAAAAAAAAGAACAGGAAGCAAGAAATGATAAAATCACAGAAAAACAAATGTCATTCAAACTGAAAAACTAGGAATTGTAACATAAAGGGCAAAATTTTTTAAGATGAGTTTCAGCCAGATCAGCAATGAAAAGCAAGAGTGAAAAACCAAGTAAAATTAGAAATGGAAAATAAACATCCTAAGAAACTGGTAAGGTGATCTCTTCTTGATGAATGGATCCTTTTAATGTTTCTCACATCAAAGTCTATATTACCTGACTTAAGAATGGCTACATCAGCACATTTTTCTTTTCCATTAGCATGGGATATCTTTTTCCATCTTTTCAGTTTTAGTTTCTGTATCTTTGTTGACGACATGTGTCTCCTGTAGACAACTTATAGATAGGTTTTGTTTTTTGATCCAGTCCACTAAACTATGATGCTTGATTCATGAATTTAAGCCATAAACATTCAGGGTTAATGTGGATAGGTATAAATTTGGTCCTGTCTTTTTAGCGATGGGTTGTTCTTTGATTTAGCCTTCTTTTGTTTTATTGGGACATTCTGCAGGTTTGCTTTTGGCTTAGGTAGGTGCTAGTTTTTGTCTGTAGAACAGCTTTAAGTATCATTTGTAGGACAGGCCTGGAGGAAGTGAATTCTTTCAGCTTTCCTTTACTATGGAAGGATTTTCCTTCATTTTCAAATATAAAGGAAAACTTTGTGGGATAAATTATTCTGGGCTGACAATTCATTCCTGTTATAGTCTAAAATACGTCACTCCATTTGGATCAACAGTGAATCCGATTGGGTTTCTCTATATGTTAATCGATTTTTTCAAGTGTTATTTAAGAGTCTTTTCCTAGTATTCAACTGAAGAGAGCTTCATTATCATGTGTCATGGCGAAGATCACTTATGGGCAACCCTATTGGGAGTTTGTGCCCCGCTTCTATGCTATTGTCTAATTCTTTCTCCAAATTAGGGAAGTTTTTATTTATTATTTCATTGAATTCAGCTTTAAACACAGCTTCTCTTTCTGTACCTTCCAGAATTCTACAGCTCTTATATTCTGCCTTTTAACAGTGTCCTTTAATTCTTAAATACTTTTCTTAGCTTGACTCTATTTCACTTCCAGCTTTTTGATTATTTCCATATGTTGAAGGAAATATCTTCCAATTTTGAGATTCTTTTATCTGCCTTCCTAATTTTATGATGCAGGCTTTCCATTGAATTTTTAATTTGCTCCATTGAGTCCTTCATTTTCAGTAATTTGGTTTGATTTTGTTTCAGTGTTGCTATTTCCTATGTGACATACTCCTATGTGCTTCTCACTATTGTTAAGAACTTTCGTAACAAGTTTTTTAAAGGTTGATTTACAGATTTACTGATTTAAAGTCAGATTTACAGAGAGGAGAGGCAAAGAATTTCCATCTGCTGGCACAAGCAGGGAGTCTGAAGGGAAGTGGAGCAGCTGGGATACAAACCTGTACCCACATGGGATCCTCATACATGCAAGGTCAGGACTTTTGTCACTAGGCTACCACATGGGGCCCAACAACAAGTTTCTAAAATTCTGTATCCCCCGTTTCCTTAATGTCTTCCTCAGTTAACTCTGAAGTTGAAAATGGCTTTTGCTGCTTTGTGGGGGATACATCAGTAAGATTCAATATGCCTCTGTCTCTTCTTTTTATCCTGATCTTTGCTATGCTGGTTAGCAGATTCTTCTCCTTAGGATGTTTCTAAGTTGTGTTACCCCTAGTCTATAGGTTAATTTTACTGATTGCTTCAGTACGTGGTTCTTCTTTTGCAATCACTTGTGTCACTCCTTCCCATGAGTTTCAGTCTTGGACTCTTAGATAGGCATCCACCGCAGTCACTGCAGCCCCAGCTCCTGACTCACAACTTGCCACTCCCTGAGATTCTATGCTGTGACTACACCATTGCCTGAACAGCCTTTCTCTCCCATACCCAGTTCAAACAGAGCCCAGAATTAGGAAGACAGAAGCTGTCCTAAATCACTGGCTTGTCAGTGGTGTTGGTCTTGCCAGAAACTGTAGTCCATTAAGTCTGAAGGCCACCCAAACCTATTTTGGGTAGAATGCACAGGATGGAATGTTGGAACTATTTCACCTGTGAGAAGAGTGCAATGTGTTGAGCCATAAGTGAGTCCTGCCCTTGCTTAGAACCTGACTAGCTTGTGCTTTTTTCCAGCTTCCCTACCCCAAACCCAACCTTTTCATTGGCACACAAAATGGTGCCTGATGTGGCACTGGTGGAGGTCTGTGCTTTCTGGCTATTAGGTCTTTTAGCCATCCGAACCAGTTTGGCGCAGGGGTGTGAAATCTCCAACCATGAAATTCATGCTGCTTGTGCACCTATTTGCTTGGGCTTTCCCACTCCATTGCTGCTCAAAACTGAACCAAGCAAATCATCAGGACAGGCAGTTCTATGCCTGGGTTCACTTTCTGAGCTCCTGGTAAACTCCCATTCCCACCTAGCTGCTGGAGGAGATCCCACTGCCAATTGTTGACTGCTGCTATGCTGCCTTGTCACTGCCACCCTACTCCACACTCTACTCCATTTCCACAGGTCTCCAAGTGTCCATTTGCCATTTTCCTGTCTTTTCCCATTTCCCAAGTTCATTCCCTCTCTGCTTCACTTTGGCTAATGATTCTCTATCTGTTTACTTGGGTCCTTACCTTTTTCTGCCATCTTGTTTCTCTTCTGTATTATCAATGAAAATAGTAGTTGTTTCCATGTATTTACTATTATAGACTGTGCTATTATAAATATAGTAGTATTATTTGTCACTTTTCCAAATGCAGATTCCAATGGACCTAAACTGGTGGTGGTAGTATCTACAATTAACATGTGAGTATAGACCCCTTTAAAATACCAGAGAACAATCATAAGTACCTTGGAATAAACCTAACCAAGATGTGGAAGATGTTTATGATGGAAATTACAAAACATTGTAAAAATAGTGGTAGAAGAAAATGGTCCTTATCTAGTTCCAGCCTTGGCTCCCAGCCTTCTCTTACGCCAACCATTAAGGTTGCTTGTGAGCCCCCAAATTAGTTCAGATAGATAGAGACTAATAAAGGCCAACTAGTTGATAAACACTCATCTTGTACCTTACTGATCAGGCTTCCCATTTGACTTTTCAGATAGGCAGAGAGAGACACTGATATAGAAAGTCTGGAACAGCCAGGCAAAAGGCTGAGTACCTACTGGTCAGGTTCCCTATTTGCTTCTCCTGGACTTTGCTAGGTAGGACGTAGAGTTAAACTCTTCCTCTCTCACTAGGTTGTTGGGGATTTTCATGCTCACCTGCTTAAAACTTTTCTATTTCTCAATTGTTAAAATGCAAAGTTCTGTAAAACCATGCTTAGTAGCCATATATACTTCAAAGTTTAAATTGTTTAAATTGTGGCTTAAGATTCTCCCCAAAAACACT